CACTCACCATAGCACATACCCTCCCCAATGTCCATCATCCAACCACCCTATCCTTCCCGCCCTACCCCATAACAACTGTCAGTTTGTTTCCTGAGATGAAGAGTCTCTTATGGTTTGTCTCCCTCCCCAGTCCAGAATATATTTTTAAGCAAGTCTACTAAAAGGGAAGGTTGGTTGCTGAATCCTCCTGAAGTGAATAATGAAAACAAAACTTTTTTAGTGGATGGTGAAATACATATTGAACAGTGAGATATAAAGTCATACACACACACACACACACACACACACACACACACACACAATTTCATGCAACTTTTCTACCAGTAATGAAAATCTTTACTCTGCCCCAGTATTGGAGACATGTGTGGCTGTTTTCATCTCAACAATTGTGTGTAAAGCAAAGTTGTCAGCCACTTTATCCATGGATGAATGATTTACTAATTTACTAATTTGAAACCTAAGATTTGTTTGTTTCCAATCAGATATCAGTAATGACAAAGTAGTAAATTATTATAGTCTACCATGAATTATTAAGTGTTCTGGTATTTCAATGAATAAAAGCCCTACTATGTATGCAGAAAAGCTTATGACCCTTCAGGCTTAAGGAAATTAGATGTGGGTTGGAAAAGAAAAACAAAACAAGAATTAAGGAAGCAAAGACTATATTATTATAGGCTTTTGGAATTGATACTCCATTTCATGGAATGTTTATCAAACATTTTAAATGGATTAATTACTATTTATGTAGATATCTAAAAACTTGCTTTTACCATTATATTCTTGCTTTCAGAATTTTGCAATCTTTGTGGGTTTAGTCACTAATATAAAGTGCTTCATTTCTGTCAGTTTGTTAAAAATGTGTGATTTGGCTTATTTCTAGGTGCAAGTAAGAAATGAGATTCTAGTTTTCAAATTACTTTTCAGTTTGAATTAAACCCTTCATGTTTATGGGAATAGTCTGAGCATCTTGGCCAGAGGCCAGTTTTCTTCGTGGTGTTTTAAATCATCAGTATGAGGAATAAGCTATACAAATAGGATCAACTGAGGAAGTAGGGAGTGTTTTAGTAAGTGCTGTTGAACTTCATTCCTGTTCTACAGCATGATTTTGAAATAACATATATTACTATATATTTTCCTAAGCAATATTTAGTGATATGAGATACTATATGAATATGATGGCAAACAGAGGAAAAATCAAAGAAAAAATATTCTAATAAAGCATTTCTTTGGACTATTTTTCTGGCAGAGGTGGTACATTCTACTGGTTCAAGTACAGACTCTTAAATCAGGCTATCTCATTTTGAATCCCTACTCTGCCACTAGGGAGTGTATGATTTGCACATTACTTCACCTCCCTGTATTTCCGTTTCCTCCACTGTGATGCAGACATAACTGTATGCTACCTCACCGATACAGTGAGGAAAAGAAACCCTCCCTACCATAGTGCTGTTTTGCAAACTGTTACCAGTTTCTTATCGGGTAAATACAGAATTCTGGAGTAAGCACTGGACATTTTACAGGGAATTTTCTGGCTAGTGATTCTAATAGTGATTGAAAACAGGCTGATATTTGTTTGCTTGTTTGTTTGTTTTTACTTTCTAGTAACTCATTTTCTGCCTTTTATCAAAGTATTGGCCTAGGATGTATTCCATATTAACAGGAATAAAGACAAAAAATAAGTCCTTTACCTAAAATAGTTTGAGAGGTTCTGATATAAAATTCTTAAAAATTTGCTTTGTATATAGTAAGTACTCATTAACAGGTGAATTAAATCCTTTTATTTTGTTAACACTATGTTACTAGTATCTTTCTTGTGAATATACAACTTAAGACCCAAAGTAGATGATATCCCCATACCATCTCCCCACTCCCCCATAAAATCTGAATGTCCATGATGCCCTACAAATCAAAGTCAACTACCTTCTACTCAACTACTCTTCTCCTCAGCTTTCAAATAATTACCAATCTTTTGTCACGTTTCTATAAATCCTTGATATTAGCCAGCTCTTAAAATGAAAGGAAGTAGCTCCTTTATTTTAGAAGTAATGGGTTAAATTATAAATTATTATAAATTATAAATTATAAATTTTTCTTCTCCTGTGAAAATCATATTTTTCTTATTATGACTCCTATATCTTAAAAGTAAAATATGCTCAAAAGTCAAAGTGATGTAGAAGTTTGCAAAGAAGTAAGCAATTAAGTAAGCACCCTTTTAACTCACCCAATCTCACACCTATCACCACAATGCCTCGCTGTTAGCAGTTTAGGATAAATCCTTATAGTCATTTAACTAAGCCTTTAGAAGCATCCATAGTTGTGTTGGTTTTGATTTAATGAAGGAGATTCTATTATATATATTTGGTCCAATTTTTTTTTTCAGGTAAGACAATAATAAACATACCAGGGAATTAAATAATTAAATGAAGGGAACATTCTTGGCCCAATTCTGATGAATTAGCAACAAAATAAATATTATCACTTCTTTATTAATATAGCCATTGTTATCATTTTAATTACCATGATGGTTTTCATTCTAGAATTTCAATACCAAAACACATAAAAATATTTGCATTTTTACTCTTCTACCCACAGTGTCTGATTCATGCATAATCATTGATTTTGGAAATTATCAATCTTATTTAAATGTATATCAACATGATAGGCAACCTAGTTAGTTTTGCATACTTAATAATCATTTTTGTTAATTTCTTTTTCTTGTTAGCCTGATTGTATCTATCGGTCATATTATTAATCTATTTTTCAGTCTCTTCTCCTTAATGGCTTGTCCTTTCTTCATTCCTTTCTCTCTACCTTTGATGTGTATCCTGAGTAAGGTGTGAGGAAGCCACACGTTGAGTATATTTGGACTGTTCCCTTAGAAAAAAATGTAAAAATGAGGAATTTCATAATGCGTGGAACAGGTTCATCACAGTGATTGATCTCAACATTAAAAAAGAGAGACACAATTTGCCTGCTGGTGATATGTAACAGGAGTTACACCCCACAGCCTAGACAATAGTCTGGCCAAAAGTGAACCTCTGTGTAACAAAGCTTTTAAATCTAACTGCCAGTTTGTGGAAAACATAAGGAATAGATGGACATATTAAACAGTGACACATGAAACAAAATCCAGAGTAAGGGAAGTCCGTGGAGTCAATGACTTTATTTCTTCAGAAAATATATTATAGATATTGAAGGACTTAAGCAATTCATCAATAAAAGGTAAAATGCAAGGTTTTTGTTTAACTTGGTTTAAACAAACCAAATGTAAATTACAAAAAAAAATGTGAGACATTTGAAAAAACACTGCCTCAATATGAAATAATATTAGATATAATCATGGTATTATAATGAGATTTTAAACCTTATCTCCTAAAGATATGTATTTATAAATACTGACTTATTATGGATAAAATGACATAAGGTCTAGGATTTACCCCAAAATATGAGGGCACTGTGAGAGCTGAGTAACAGCAGGTAGGATCTACAAATGATTGTTCACATATTGATAATTGTTGAGGCTAAGTAGTACCAAAGATCCACTGCACTATTGCTTGTTTGTTTTTAGAAATTTTGTAATAAAAATTTAACAATAACAAAATCACTGGGAAAGCTGAACTATGGAAAATAATGCCCAGAAACCTGATTTGCCAAAGATAAAAATGACTGTCACTTTATGCCTACATATAAAAATTTCACACACGGTAATGGTTTAAAGATCACAGGCAAAACTATCAAAAACAGAAAATAGAGAGTGATGCTTTTGTTACATTTAGGTAGGAAAAAATGGACTTAAAACATATATAATTAAAGGATTTGTTTGAGTACACTTTGAACAAAGTTAAAAGATAAATGACTGTGTAATCATATTTGTAATGTATAAAACTGACAAGAATATAAAAGAATAAAAAATAATCCTTTCAAACCAATGAGGAAAATGTAATGAAATCCATCTTAAAATTAACATATACTATGAATTAGGAAGTTTATAGATGAAAAACATTGGTGAGAAAAATGAAGCAAATTAGAACAAATGATGTATCACTTTATATTAGACTTAAAAATGTTAATTTTGCGGAGAATGTAAAAGATTATTAATGCAGTGCTAAAGGGAGTATGTGTGTGTGTGTGTGTGTGTGTGTGTGTATATGTAAAAAAGCCTGTCTTACCATACATGGGCTTGCACTGAGGTTTTAAGGAAGGGCAGTATTTGAATGGAAGGAATTTGTAATTCTAGGCAAATGAGAGTAACTGCCAAGTTCATAGAAGTGAAAATTAATATGTTTGTGGGGGGAGGGGGCTAGCGATGTGATTGGACTTGATTTATGAAATTACATATAGCACTGAGCAGGATGTGGTAGAGAATAGATCCGAAAAGGGGGGAAAAAGCGCCAAGGACACAATCTTTACTTGTTAATTTATCTAGTGAACAAGCACAGAAAAATCTATTAAAAGGGGCAGGCAAGCTGATAAAGTATATCTGGTTTTAGTCAGGTCCCACGCACAAGGGAAGTTTAAGGAAGCAAAGAGGTTACCCTGACAGTGAATTGACCCTAGATAACCTCGGGTACCATTAAGCCATAGAAGGTATGCAGTCTTGTTTGTCCAAGTATTTGAAGAACTGTCAACATGTTAGGCAAGATAAGTACTTCTAAATTCTGATAGTGAAACAAATCTCAGTTTCCACTTGGAACATTACATGACAGGAGAGTTCTAAGTTGTGACTGTCAGTGTAGAAGAAATCTTCTATTTCATGCATCTTGTTTATATGATTTCATCTGTTACATTTATATATAGGCAGTCCTCGCCTTGCATGGCAGTGTAGGACTGTGAACAGTCCTATAACTTATCGCATAATGAGCATCTTTTCTATGCCTTGACAAATTATCATACTCTTTTTCAGTTTGGATCAAATTCTCACACTTTATCCTTTGTATTTTTAATGTCATGAAATATTTCTGAGAGTTCCGTTAATGTAAAGATGTTTGTGTTTTCTTCACCAGCGTCACTTCCTCTGGGACATCTTCCTTGCCTCGTTCTTCCGGCTGTATGTCTAGTGTCTCAAACACAACGGTATCATCCCCATAGTCAGCTGTTCCTGCTGTAATTCCATCTAAATTCAACAAGAATTTCACATCTAACATCATCACCTTTAATTTCCTTGCTGAACTTGAAGAGACCGATTCTCTTTTCTGATGATCCGTTTTTGTAAAACATTAAAACATCACATGATTCTATCACTAATGCCTTGAAGACAGCACAACCGCTTGCTACATTCTTTGTATGAGAACTGAGTGGCAGATACACAGTGACCAATCCCTGGCCGACTTTGAAAGAGGGGAAGTGACTAGTCACTAACGATGACGGGCATCTAATATATACAGTGATGTACGACATGAAGACTAGCAGGCTATAACTTCGCAAAAGCATTCATAGCTGGTGTACCATACTAACTGGAACTCGAACCATGTTGTTGAGGGACATAACATATATTACCGTATATAACATATATAACATAACCATGTTATTTTAGAAAACTAGTAAAACTAAATGTGTTCATATCTTCGTCATGGTGCAAAGCAGCAGCTGTGTGTGTATTTGTATTTATGGATGTGTGCTTGTGTATGTGTACTGATAAGAACCCCTGAATCAAAGAACACTGTTTAATACAGACTCACAGAGCTTCTTGGTAGCAGCTCCCGGGGTCCAGCTCCCAGCGTGCCCTGTAAGAGGAGCCTCGTGTTACACTGAGAGTGAAGTGTGATTGCAGCACAGGAAAGTAACTCTGAAATGCTAAGAGTTGGAGCTTATGCTGGTATGTTCACCAGTCCTCTCCTATGGAGAGAGACACTTTTACTCTGGAATGTAAACTTCTTCTCTGGGGAGAGGAGAAGACCTCTAGTTTCATTGCTTTGAATGTATGTAAAGAGCTTGGCAGGGGTGGGAGGTGGTAAGGCTTTAAGGCATGTCCTATCTCTAGCTTCCAATGCATGTTTACCCTCTGTCCAAACTTTAATCAATTTCTTCAGTGCTCTGTACTTGCAAAGCCTTGATCATGACTATGAACATATTCATGAAGAATTATTTCCCAACATTGTGTTTTCTTATTACTTAATTTGTTTTTGAGCAAAGCTAATTTTCCAAAACAAAGTAAAAGGTGACAATTATTTTTTTTTCAGTCATCAATGAATCCATATTACTCCATGCTCATAGCTACAATCACAACCAGAATTAAAAATAATGGTGAAACCATAACTACTAATGTTTACAAAGTGCATTACTTTCTGAAAAGCATTTTAAAATACATTGCCACTTAATGCCACTAAAATTTTGTAGAGTATGCAGATTAGTGTAATTACCTATAAATTATAAATGTAAAAACTGTGATTCAAGAAATTAAACAATCTGCCAATGATTATGTATTTAACTACTCAGGAAATGCCTTAGTCAGCTTTGGGGGGCCACTATAATATCCCTTAAATTAGGGACTTTAACAACAGAAATGTTTTCTCACAGTTCTAGAGACTGGTAGTCTAAAGGCAGGGCAGCAGCATGTTTGGGTTTTGGTAAGATCTCTTTCTGGGTAGCAGATGGTCACCTTCTCCCTGTGTCATCACGTGGAAGGGAGAGACAGAAAGAGGAAGGTGTGTCTGGTGTCTATGCTTATAAGAATGATACTCATTTTGGATCAAGTCCCTACCCCTGTGACTTCATTTCATCTTAATTACTTGTATAAGTAAAGACCCTGCCTCCAATTACAGTTACATTTGGGGTTATGGTTTCAACATATGAATTTGGGGGAATACAAACATTCAGTCCATAACAGTAAACTAGAACTTGAACACAGGTTTGCTTTTTGGATTTGGTATTGGTCTGTCTGTTTCTTTGTTTGAATTCCCCCAAATACTACCAGACAGCCTGTTAACAAACCAAATCTAAAGAAGTTCCTGGAGTAAGGGAGAATATCACCTCTAGAGAATCTCATCATATACACAGAGCTATGTGATCTAGCTTCTAGTGGCTTAGAGACAGACTAACAAGGCAAGACATGGTATGACAGAGGGCAAATTTCCTAGAATGATGGTGTAGGATTGGTGGAAACAGAGACATGAGGGTCTTGACTGTTTTATTTAATCAACCGAGTGGTCTACAGATGGTCAATCATCTTATCTAAATGACTCTGACACAGATGGTTTTTGGTTCTCATTTGGTTTCAAATATGTATCCTTTCTCCTATACCATTCTTCTTCCTTAAAGGGCAAGCAATTTTCTGCAGACCATGAATGAGAAATACAGCTATGGGGAAGATGCGGAGAGCTATGAATTCAGTTTTTTTAATAGAAGGAGAGCTATCTATATAATGTCTCCTAAGTATAAAGTATAAATCTTTACTTAAGATTCCTTTTCTTGGAAAAAACTATGAAAAATTAACCTCTTTAACAAGGAAGAATCATTACTATTTCTCATGTTTTAATAACTCTGTTTATAACCTCATAGTAACAGAATGAACACAGGATGTTCACTAGATGTTTAAAAATCTAAATCAATATCTTCAGTAGGAATGCTGTTCTACTGTTATCAGTATCCAAACAGCACTGAAATTGAAAATAAATGCTGACAAGTCAAAAAAGTCCAAGAACTCTAATAGACTTATCCAGAAGTGGACATAAATTTAACACCATGCCCATAAAAAATGAGGCTTTGCCAGAGGAAACTAGATTATCAAAATCTAGAGAAACTGGGGAGCTGTGGTGGTTCCCCAGTTGGTTAGTTGGTTAAGCAACTGCCTTCAGTTCAGGTCATGACCTCAGGGTCCTGGGATGGAGCCCTGCATTGGGCTCCCTGCTCTTCAGGAAGCCTGCTCACCCTCTCCCTCTCCTGCTCACCCTGCCTGTGCTCTCTTGGTCTCTCTTTGTCAAATAAATAAATAAAATCTTTAAAAAGATCTAGAGAAACTATGTTCAAGGGGGGGGTTTTAGTAAAGGAATTAAACTGACTGTATAAATCAATTAGCTGATCTCTACTAGTAAAAAGGCTTAAACTATACAATTTTGATAGGTGAATGTAAATCAAATGACCCTCCCTAAAAAGACAAATTAAATGCGTGCCCTTCCACTTTGTTAATATGTCCATGTTTTGTCAGAACCTAAACATTTTTAAGATCTTAATTATAGAAGCGGGAGAGGCCAACACAGTCCCTTCTAGCATCCTCCCTGGGCACATTCATTTTATTTATGCTTTTGTGGGACAGATATTAGGATTGTGTGATGAGGGAACTATTCAATGAAATACTTTTGTACTTAAGAAGAAATTGTTTAAAACTCAGATATTTTGGTTCTTAGTTTCCTTTTGATATGGAATTTGTGGTGGGATTAGTTACTTGCCTACAAACCATCCAGACTAAAGTCTGGCAAGGACTAATGGAGAACATGATAAGGGGTCCTGCACAGACCAGTGTGTTCCAATTAGTGCTACAGAAATCTTTTTACAAGTGTAAAAATAATTCTTATATTTTATTAATTCCTACCCTTGCAAACAAGCAAGTCATTTTAAAATTGACTTAAAATATTAGGGAGTATTTAGGCATATTATGTAAGGCAAAAATAATGAAGTTGATATAGTAATGGTTAATATATGATATTACTGGCTTAAATTTTGAAAATTAGCATAGAGTTAAAATGATATTATTACTGTTGCTCTTCAAAAAATCACCACCAAGAAAATGCAGTTGGAAAAGTCTACTTAAGAAGACTACAAAAACATTTTTTTTTTTTTTTTGGTCAAGTGATAGAATTCTTTGGTGGAATTAGCCTGTTCCCAAGTTCCTTGCCCTCTGCTTCTATCCATATTAGTTTCCTGTGGTGAGGGACTTCTCACCTCCATTCATTATAGTAAGCTAACTTTTTGAGCCTCAGAGCCTGTTACTTAAGAGTTTGTCTTCCTCTCCAATACATGACAGAGCAATTCCTTCCAGAGAGAAGGTATCACCTCCAGTGTGAGTGATTTCTGAATGATGTGAGGCCTTAAGCATAAATGAAATGTAAAGAATGGAACTATCTTGATTTTCTCTTCATAGAGGATCTCAGTAGGTCACACTTGTTTGAAATTTCTGGTTCCATTAGCGCTTTGATAGACCTGACAGATTGCAAGACTTGATTTTTTCTAGCTTTTCAGCAGATATGTAACTGCTTTCTATGAATGACCTACTTAAATTCGACTATAAAATAAATATGTATGAAGTCATTTCAATCGTATTGCAATATCTAAAAAATAATTTTTGGTAATATAATCCACTATGTTTTTCTTTAATAAAACTCTGGAATACTGTAACCTTGAAAATCTTTTCCGCTTTACTATACCTGCATAATTTTTGAATTAAAGTCCTGGGGTTTAATAATATTTTTGCTTTTAGAGTTTATCATCAATCATAATCATTTCTCCATTTCTCTACTTCATGAATTTAAATGCCATGTTAGCAATTGCTGTTTATCTTTCTTCCAACACTTAGTTTCCTTTTTATTAGTAAGTGTGCATTTTGTGAATAATAATACATATTTAATTGCTCAGAAATCTAAACCATAACTCACAGTAAATTTTCAGATTTGAATTTAAATGAAGCTTACATTTAATAAGGGACTATCATATATGCATATACGTCTCTATGATGCTATGTGCAATATATTTTACATGGACTGGCTCATATTTACCCTTTCAAAGCACCATGAGAAAAGATAGCTTAATTCTAAGAATATTCTGCACCAAGTATATGCATGTTTTCAATAGATTGGCAGGAACTTATTTTTAAAAATTTCTAAGTTTGAAAAATAAATTATTCAACTAAACTTGATTCTGTATATATTTATTCCTTCCCATTTCTTTCCCCTTTCTTCTACTGCAACAGAGATCTAATAGGCTTTTGCTTAACAACTCACACGTATTTTAAAATGCAGATTAAAATCTAATATACGTTTGAGCTGGCAGACATGTTCTGCCTATTGAAAATTTATCTCTGGAATGAAAAAAATCTTAGCAATATAAAAGAATAAAATAAGAACTTTTTTTGCATAGAGAAAACATTTGAATAGTGACAATCTGATACTTGAAATTTCAGAAGGCTACATAATAAAAAAAGATGCAAATATTG